CTAAGTAAACGGGATCGGGTCCTCTAAGTAAAAATGTTCAGAACCCCCAAAAACCTCACGAGAACTGAGATCGGGCCTTATCGGGCCCTTATATTAGCTCTATAATATATTATATAAAAAAAAAATTCTCTAATTTCTAACCCTAACCTTAGGACCGGTGATGATCACCACTGGCGATAAGTGTACTAAAATATATATATATTAAATGATTATACAGTATATCGTGACTCAATGATCAGAGCCACATGATTTTACCACGAATTGATTCGGATTGCGTTGCCTGATCACTGAGTTACAAGAAATCAGACATTCCATAACTGGTACTGTACCATAACAATAATACCTGTACTCTCCTTATATGTACACGTATATAAAAAGACCCTTAAATGCATCTCAAATTCTCTACGTCCGTAAACGTATTTTTACTTATTGTTCTCTAAATACATGGATTTAAAAGTTTCGACGGATTATAGATATATTTGTGTAACTAAACGATCAAAATTGAACCATTTGTTGACTATTGACTACGTACGTAGTAAATTTTTGATTGACTAACGACAACCCCCTATAAATGTTATAAGACATAAATGGGTTACAAGATCTAGCCTAATAGCGATAGGTCATAACAGATCATAGGCTAATACTATCGTACGAACGTAGATGCAGGGGTGAACGTCATGAACGTTACGCCTCAAGATGATGCAGGGGAGGTGTTCACTTTGGAAATTTAGAGGATGGAAAAGATCAATAAGAATAAATAGAAGATTCTCAATAAATAAAAGCAGGTAGTATAAATTATTCTTATTTCGTAAAGTATATATATACAAAAAATTCTATTTTTGTTAATCCCGCGCATACATTGTAACATACACCCACATGAAGATGGAGACAACACTCCATTATGAGACCTCTGTACAGATACACATCCTACACGGAGACAAATGAGTCGAGGTGAAAATTATTATAATAAAATAAATTATCATAGATAGATAACGAACGTCAATCTATTTATTACCGAAACATGAATTCATTTATTCATATTTGGGTAGACAATTCTTTTCTAAAACCGTTTTATTAAGAAAAAGTTAATATTTTAAGACGACTAGTTCATAAAACAAGATTAAATTAAAATAGGAAAAATGAATATGTACGTATGTACGTCAGTACGTAAGGCGCACATATTGCAGAATCCTGTTTAGACGCAGCGCAGTCAAATAAACATATCAATATATATGCGCAATTAATCACGTGAAATTGCGTCAAACTGGAAAAAGGACACAATGCGAATGAATATAATATAATATATAGCTATATACTATTGAGGGAGTTTAATGCATATGTAAGATACATGTGAAAGTATTACTTTTTCATAATTGAAAACCTTACTTTCGTTACGAAATAAAAATACGCATTTTAAATAAGTTTTGTCGTTATTAAAAAGATAACTAATTGATGATCTGATAAAAAATTCAGTTATAGTTATGTAACTTTAAAAGATTTACTTTAATAAATATTTTGCAACACATTAACATATACGTAGATTAAAAAACATTAGAGAACAAATGACGGCATTTAGCAGAGAATTATGTTATACATGCTTACATGCGTACATACGTAATTAGACGTAATAGGATGATGAAACAGAAATTATCCAATAAGGATTAGCAAAACAATGAAACGTAGTTTTAAGATTTTTTTATATCCTCATAGTATAAAATAAGTAAGTGATTATTATAAATAGATAATCAAAATTTTTTTATCTACCATTATTGTTATTTATCAATGCGTACATGCATTATATTCGGTTAGTTATTGTCGATAGAATCACTTAGATGGAAAATTTTGAATGAACCAATTGTATGTAACAGTGATACTTAAAGTATATACTTGATACGTACACATTTGATTGTACACGAAAAGGAAATAGACATCATTCGACTATAACTTCCGAGTCTGGAAAATGAATAAATATTGATTGGATAAGTACTGAAGATCTATCTGTCTTCCTTTTACTGTCAGACAAAACCTACTAAAAGCAAACGGAAAAAATTTTTTTTTTTTTTTATCTTTATTATTACAAAAAATTATCATTCTAGTTTTTTTAAATTGTTCTTTTTTATATTCGAGCCATTCTAACAATAAAATTGCATAAAGTGGATTAGACAGTTTTTAAAATTTTAAAATTTTTTCTTTAATTTAACTTTGCCTACGGAAACACAAGTGAAACCTCTCTTAAAAAGACAATGATGCTACTTGCTTCCGCAATTTCACTTTCATTAGCAATTACTACAATTTCCGTAACTTTTCCAATAGTGTTTTATTACACTATAAAAGACTGCTGTTTCCCGGTAAGTCTTGAGCATGTGAAATAAAATAAGTAATATTGAACGATAAGATATAATGAAAAAGTTAGTACAACTCATCAAAAGTTGATAAGATTTAGAAAATTTTCACGGCGTGCTTTTTATAAAAAAAAATTTCTTTAATTATGTAGAGAGAAGTTTCAAGTAGCCGAGATTTTAAAAAAACTGTATCTGTGATTCGAATTAGTGATTCTGGAGGTGATAATATAATCAAACTAACGTCATCTACGTCATTATAAATTCTATTTTGTTGTATTTTTTATTTTGACCTTTTTTTTCTTTTTCCAGTACATATAATATCGAGACCAATATCGATAACACCTGCAGCATTTGAAGACGTAAAGATTATACAAATGGAAGGATATGATGAATTGATAATGAAGCCACAAAAATCTTGCTTTAAATAAGACCATATTTGGTCGAATACTGTAGTTTATATTACAGGTTTGTGATTTTTCATCAATTATTTATCCAACTTGGTCAACATAGTTTGATCCATTATAATGATTTAACTCTGCTTCTTTCTTTATCGACAGAGCGCAAACGAATGTTATTACTCTTTCAATTTTTGTAAAAAAAAAATAATTCTTTTTTGTTAAATTTTTTCTTGAAATATATCATTTAAACGATGTATTTCTAGATAGAATTTCTATTTTATTCACAAGACACTTTATATTTTTGTAGGTATTATTAGTTACATGTTAAATATTTCAACATAGACTTTTTAAAAAAAAAAATTCATGACCTATCATTCAAATTATATTTTAAATAAATCATATAACTTCATTTATTCTTTCATTTTCATTTCATACGCATTTGAAATTTTAAATAATATCCGAAAAATTTTTTAGTAATTTAATAATAATTATTATTATTATTTTAGCAATAGCATAAATAGAACATAATAATTATAATTTACGACACTTTTTTTTTTAAAAAAAAAAAAAATCGAATGAATCTTTAAAAAGCATAGTGTTCATAAAAATAACATGGATTTTAAATAAAAATTTCGAGATCTTGTAATATAAAGAAAAATAAGAAAGGAAATACTGGGTTAAGATATATTATTCAATTAGACATTGTACTTTGAAAAAAACATTCTGTCGAATTAATAAAATTATTTAATGCCCGTTTCATGTTTTCTTAATTAAATCATGCTACTTTTCTTTCCGATAAAAAGTTTCAAAATGCACAATTATGTAATATATCAATTGTTGTTACATAGTAGAGTGTCATATTGATTGTACGATGGAATTTATATCTAAATAATAAGAATGCGCGCTAGTAAAAATCTTCAAGATCTTTACTGATAAAATCAATTTAGTGGTCTATAATGAAAAAAAAAACCTGGATGATTAGAAATTAAGGAAATTAAGCCAAAAAGAGACTTGATAGCTAAAAATATCATGTCTACAATCCTACTTATCGTTATGCATTTTACACATAGTTATAAATGATTCAATTGAACTACTAGGAAATTAAATCATAAATTATGAAGTATCCCAAATTTTGAAAATTTTAACTACTAATACGTAAATATAGATTTTGACTGAGATAATCAACATTCTTAAGTTAAGATGCGTCATTTTAATAAATTTCTATGTATAATGAGATGCGTTGGGATGGGTTAGACGTGTTATCAATCTAGATCAGAGATCCAAAATTTTTTTCAGGGTTTATATTGATGAGTAAAATGTTTATTCTGTGTAATTAAATTTACAAAATTTGGTAGCTTCATAATTTGGCAAATAAGCACGTGCCGCAAAACACATCAACCAATCATTAGTCAATTATCATATTCGACAAATCGGAAGTAAAAATTTCCAGGTCGCAGTACATATCAATCTATATGTTTTGTGAAAAGGACAGTTTTCACTTCTAAGTTAACATTTAAAAAATTATTGTTATTTCATATTTTTATGCTATCTATGTTTTTTCCTTTACGCAAAAAACTTTTGAAGTATCTTACTTTGAAAATGGTGTTTTGACGAAATCAAATTCGAAATTTGATTGATTACTATTATCTACATAAGCTTAATGATAACATTTAATTATTCTCATCTATCTATTTATTGAATATAGATTGAGTTGTCATTAGTCCATCTAAAGATCTAAACTGAATTCGCTTTCAAGACACGTTCGAACCCAATCACTGCTTAGAGGTTTTTTTTTACATATTTTAATATAGTCTCTTGATAATGGTATTTAAATTTCATTTAGGAAATGTAAAGAGGCTAATATTCACTTAATTTTCATTTTCTAACTAGATATAATCTTAAGGATTAATTATAATAAAATACAACTTTGATTTTGATTATACTAGGAAACAGGAATTTTTGAGGTCCAGAGCCATAGTATTTAGATTTTAATTTTATAGTTTTCCTTCAAAAAATTTATAACATATCATTTAAAGTAATAGGGCTACCATCAACAACAGTAATAAAGGTAATATAATATTTATTATTCATTATCTTTTTCTCTTTACACGTAGGCACTTACATGCAAGAAGATATATAACAATTGCTGAATTATTATAACATTCAATAATAAATAAAATGCTCCCAATTCAATAACTTCCTTTTATTGGCTGCTTCGCATCCAATAACTATATGGGGGTGAGCCAGTAGAAACGCACCATGTTTTTTTTAATGGAATCTTCAAACAAAAATAAATCAGCAAAAACTTAACCAAATTTAGTAAAAATTTTTTTAAATAAATTTTACAAGTT